ATCAGCTGATTATGAAGAAATAAAGGGTTTCAGTTCAAGCAGGAAGAGAAAAAGGGGAGGCCAACCACTATCAACAAGACAGAGGTAGAGATTTAAGCATCTCCTTTTTGTTCCTAGAGCTGCCCATTAGAGAATCCTGCATGTCCCCAGCAATAAGTCACAACAGCTTCTTGGCTGCTATAAATCAAATCAGCGGGGTTGGCAAGTGCAAGTCCAGACAGCATTGCTGCCCCCAGCTTCTGCCCTGAAAAGCCACCACTTGCTGCTCCTGGAGAGGCTGGTTGTGTCACGGGCTGAAAGTACAGGCAGGCTCTACCGGCGGGTTTGTCTGACTAACCTTGCAGTCTGCCACCTTGTCACCAGCACCTGAGCTCATCAAGTTAAGACACACTGAGAGGGTGGGGGGGAACCACATCCTAAACCCACTGTCTCTCTCCTCCCCACCGACTTTAACAGCAGCCAGGGCACAGGGTCCCCGCGCAGGTCACCCTTGCAGGTATCAGGTTTGGGGTTGGAGATGAATGTCGTGCTGGCAGAGCCCCTAAAACCTTCTGCTCCATGTCCCTCTCAGCCTCCCAGAAGAGCCAGGTCGTGAAGGACCGCTGGAGGTCACCTAGTCCAAACCCCTGCTCAAAGCGAGGGGTGCCTCAGCTTTGCAGGGGCTCCTGCTGCATGCCTGAGGCAGAGCTTAATCGCTCTCCCTGTCAGTTTTTTTTCCCTTTCTATCTAGTCTTGCTGCAGCCTGGGACCGCTCTTTCCACGCCGGGCACGTCCACGTCAGGAGGTCGGTGACTTTTCCCCGTAGGAAAACCTGATTCCCCTTTTCCCTGCACTCCGGCCGTCCACACAGCGGGGAGGGGGCACGTCAACCGCAACCCGCCCTCGCTGCAGCTTACCCGGAATAAATCCCACCCTTCCGCAAGGACACGCAGGGATTTGGGGCCAGATAAGGGGCTGGAAGGGAGGAAGTAGGGGAGCAGGAGCTCTCGAGGGTTGGGGACAGGCTTTGGGAAGAGCAGGCTGAAGCCAGGGAGCACCGACAAAGCTGCGCAGGAACCGCTCAGCTCCTTCCAGTCCCCTTCGTGCCACCGTTGTTCCTCCCCACGCTTTCCTCAGACTCTTTTTCCCCCCTTTTAGCGGCGACTGGAGCTCCACGTACCTGGCGTGTGTTGTCCTGACCACTTTCCGCCACCGTCCCAATGGCCGGAGGAGCAGGACGGACCCTTGGGCCGCCCAGGGGCCTCGGG